GCTAGTTTAAGGGGTTTTGGGCTATTGTTTTACCTACTTTTGGGGTCCAGGCATGCTCTTTCTACTTGGAAATTAATTGGTTCCAGAAGCCACAGGAAGATCGGTCCAGTTCCGCCCAACGCTGAGCGGGCTGCTCGTCCTAGCTATTTCAGGGTTCCCTTACAAGGCTTATAGGAGGCATGTGGAAGGTAATGGGGATAGTAGAGACTCCAAGGCTTTGGCTTCAAATTTGTAATTATCCAGCATCCATTCCTTGTTTGAGTAACCTTACCCTAGCCCTCCCAGCTACCTAAATAGTAGGCTACTAGGCTATGTAACTACAGAGTATATAGAACCCAGTTCCCATTATTTAGGTAAATGGGAGCCCTAGGGTAAATCCCTAAACCCTAAACCCTAAATCCCTAAACCCTAAACCGCGTGGCTACAGTATCCAAAAAAAAGTCGGAGCAGAGGGCCACGCCGTGGTCAGGCAAAGCTAGCGGGCTCTTAACAGGTAGCCAGCGGGGAGTGACGGTAGGGCTTAGGAAGGCCTTATAGGATATCCGGGTTTATAGGGTTTACCTAGGCCCCAAAACTATGTACAAGAATTGCCTTCTGGGCTATTTTAAGAGGTTTTGGGTTTCATTTTACCTACTTTTGGGGTCCAGGTAGGGCTTAGGGCCTCCACAGGGAAGCGCCAACTTACCTTTGCCAAACCACAGCTGGAATAGCTTTCGCATGCTCCATCAACCACAAAGCCCCGAGCCCTCAATCCTAGACCTCAAACCTAAATCCTAAACCAGCTCTGCGTGTTCCTTCAAGGGCTTCAGGACCAAGGCAGAGCTTAAAACCTTCAGGGGTATGTATCTGTGTAGATGTGGGGGGTTGGGGGTCCAGAATTCCTCAGCCCTAAATCCTAAACCCTCAACCCTAATCTGCTCCTAAACCCTAAGAAACATGAGAACCTCTGCAGAATATTTAACGCCCAGGGGCAATGGTGTCGGGTCATCTTCAGGTATCGCCTGGCCGAAAGCCAGCCTCAGCTGTTTCTACCATGGGATTAAGAATACTAGGGTTTAGGGGTTTAGGTGTTTACCTGGACCCCAAAAGTAGGTAAAATAATGTCCCAAAACACTTTAAAATAGCCCAAAAGGCAATTATTCTACATACTTTTGGGGGTGTTTAGGGGTTTTGGAGGCCAGGGGCGCAGGTTCAAAAACGAATTCGGGATCGAGGGTTTGGGGGTTCAGGGTTCAGGTTCAGGGTTTGAATGGCTTTTCGGATCTTTGCAAAGGCTTTGGGCAGACTGCTCTGGCAATGCTTTGCTTCCCCATGTCGGAAGCTCTTCTGCGTGATGTGTACCACATGGCCAAGGACAGCAGAATCTGCAAATTATCCCAATATAACCCCATAATGACCCCAACATACCCCCGATGTAACCTCAATATAACCCCAAAATAACCCCAATGTACTACAGTAACTATACTATAGTAGTTTCAGGTTGTCTAGCAAGACATGTCACTGTGCGCAGCGAAAACGGACGTGAATCATCCCAGATCCCGGACCCCCTAAAGGCTCCAAAAAAAAGGAAATAAGGGTATATGTTTAGGGTTTAGGGTTTAAGGGTTTAATAAAATGGAAACCATTATATTGTAATGGAGTATATATTGGGACTGTATACCCCTAAAGGATCCAAAAAATGGAACCCCCTAATAATCCCCTAGTTTCCCACATGTAGTAATGTCTTCATATATTTTTTTGGGGGGGGGTCCATTTTTGGTTTAGGGGGATATAATCCAAAGATATACTCTATTACAAGATAATCGTTTCCGTTTTGTTTTCCATTATCCCTATATAACCCCAACATATACCCCATATCTCCAGTTTTGGGGATCCTTTAGGGGGTTTGGGATTGGACAGCACCAGGCGCTAAGGCCGCTAGGAGTGTTTTCTGCATCGAGTTTGCTGCAATATGTAAGGCTCAGGGGATTGGCCGTGTTTGGGGGTTTAAGGTTTCAGGGTTTAGGGTTTAGTTTCCCCGAGGATCCACGTGGAAGAAGTTTAAGGGTTTCGGGTTTAGGGCTCCTTAGTCCACGACCCGTTTGCAGTATCCCTCTGGGGTTTAGGGTTTGGGGTTTAGGGTTTTTAGGGTTTAGGGGTTAGGGTTTAGGAGACACATGCAGGAAAATATCGAGACCGTTGCAGCGAAGCGAAGTCCATACAGATGCAACTCTCAAGCCCTCCTAAACCCTAAGCCCTAGACTCCCAATCGCAAACCTTGGACCCTAGACCCTAGAGCTCAACCCTTAGCCCAACCCTAGACCCTCAACCTTAAGCCCCAAACCCTAAACCTACCCCAAACACCTCCACCTCTGCGTTAGACCAGCGACAACCAAACCCCCAAGTCCAAAGCCCAAACCTGGAGCCCTGACCCTAAACGGGGTTCACCAAAACTATGGCTACCATCTTGGGCGTCCCAAAATAAGGACTACACTATTTTGGTGTCTAGACTAGGATCCCCCCACTTTGGGAAACTACCCAACTCCTGAAGCACCACACCCTCAACCTGAATTGCACCAGCAACAAGTTTGAGGAGTCCGTAGAGTCCTCCACGTGCTTCAGCTGCCCGAGTCGATGCGAAAACCGCCGGTAAAGGATAGGCCCACTCGAGGGCCGAACGTGGGAGAAGGCAAGCCTCAGCTGCGACTATGTGCTGATTTGGGGGTTTTAGGGTTTCTGGTTTTGGGGTTTGAGGGGCTTTGCATTTTTGGGTTTGAAGTTTAAAGTTGAGGGTCTGAGGCTTAGAGTTTCAGGTTGCGGGAATAGGGTTTGCTGTTTTGGTTTGGGGCTAAGGGTGTATGGGCTTAGAGGCAGTCAGTTACAGCTACACATATGCGTGTCATTCAGATCACTTTCGTGCTGAATCCCACCAAAAAAACAGACTGCCGGCATCCTCTGAACCATTTCTGTTCCTTGATATTAAGATGTCGAATGCTCTCTTTGTCTGTGGTGGCCCCGGATGTTTTCATGTGTTGGCGGTGCGCTGGTTTTCTTGCAGAGCTTTGCGTGCACATATTTGATGCCTGCGCCATCATGATCGCTGTCTCCGTGCTTTCGGGCGTTTTCGGCATGTAGAGACTGACGGTACAGCTTTTTACTCTCATCTTATGAATCTAGAGCAGTGGATGACTTTCCTTAGCAATCGTGTTCGTGGGGTCACGCATGGGAACTAACTCCGACGGGAAGTTAGAGGCCCGCAGCCACATGCTCACTTGCTTCCATGCTTGGGAAGAAAGCGGCAGTTTTTTAGTGTTGGATTCAAGCCGTAAGAGTTCAACGATGTTGAATCACACGGTTTCTTAGTCTTCGACTGAGATCACTCTCTGGGACTTTCTGCCTGGAAATTCTAAAGGAAACGCCTGGCCGGGGTTTGGTGCGGTCCCGGGTTGTTTTCCGTATTTTTCCGTTTTGTTTTGTATTTTTTCCGGTTCCTCTTGCTTTTCCTAATAGCAATAGTAAAAGCAATGGTATTGGTAATACTAATAGTGATAATAATAGTAATAGTAATCGTAATACTACTAGTAATAATAATGGTGATCTTAATCGTAATAGTAATAATAATAGTAACAGTAATAGTAACAGTAATAGTAATAGTAGTAGTAATAGTAATAGTAGTAGTAATCGTAATAGTAATAGTAATAGTAACAACTACTAGTAATAATAATAGTGATATTAGTCGTAATAGTAATAATAATAGTAACAGTAATAGTAATAGTAATAGTAATAGTAATAGTAATAGTAATAGTAATAGTCATAGTAATAGTAATAGTAATAGTAATAGTAGTAGTAATCGAAATAGTAATAGTAACAATAATAGGAATAAAAAATACTAATAGCAATAATAATAATGCTAGTGATACAAGTACATGCACTAGTAAAAGTACTAGTAATAGTAATAGTAAAGAAATAGTAAGGTTCCTCTTGCTTTCCTCAATAGTAATAGTAGTAGTAGTAGTAGCAGCAACATTAATAATGATAGGAATAGTAACACTCAACTTTGCCGGACCATTTACTAGTTCCATGCTGGCAATTCGTACATCGGAGCTGCCACCAAACAGGACCTCGCTTGCGGCTGCGCTGTGAAGCGGCGACAATCATGGGAGTGCCGTGGACCAGCACTGTAAGCCCTGCTGATATGGGCTTCTGGACTTCCTCCGCGTTAACAGGGGCTCTGCGTAACTTTCGCTCCAGGAGTTCTTCAAACTCGACAGGCATAGAATATCAGAAGCAAGAGAGTCAGCAGCGCTTGAAGCAGGCCTTCTGTGTGCGCCTGTACTGCGCGCGCTTTCCAGTCGCCTGGTCTGCAGAAGGCCGGCCCCTCTTCTTTGGAGGTGGCGCAGCAGCCTCTGCTTGTCCTTGCTGCGCACGCTTGCCACCGCCTCGCACGCAAGGTAGCTCTGCACCAAGCTGCGGTGTCAAGGCATTGCCCCTGTGAAGGTTGCCACCTCCTCGCATTTCCGGGAGAGCAGGAAGCGAGTCTGCGTTTGCAAGGCTTGTGGGCCAAGCGCCCAACGCTCAGCGGCACTTGCAGGCTCTGCAGGAAGCGCCGGGCATCTGGGCTGAGGCCACAGCGGTGAAAGGCCTGGCAGTGACCATCACCATCGCCACGCCGCCGTGTCTCAGAGATGCTGCCAAGGCCTTTTGAGTGCCAAAATTTGAAGAGAGCCAAACGTTCTGCACGCTTGGCAGCGCCCCTCAAGGCGGTGACGTGGTTCGAGAGATCAGTCATTGTGATTGGGTCTCGGACACAGGTTAGCAACACCTTTTTGGCCAAGAGCTCTTCTGGGCTCAATGTTTCTTCATGGCGCGATGTGGGCAGCTGATTGGTCTTCACAGCACAGTGGGACGCCTCAGTGTCCGTGACAGCACAACCTAGAAAAAGCCTTGTGGAGCAGTGCAGGATACCACATTTCATGGCATCATCACTGCATAGGAGATCTTGCAGACCAGCTTGGCTGGCAGCACAAAGATGTGAGGACAGCTGCAGATGGCACCAGGTATTCCATCATCCCAAATGCAGCCTTGACTGCACGTCGCCAGGCTTGTTTCTGTTGCAGCGCATGGATTGCAGAGTAGAGATCCGCATGCTGAGCTGCAGCGCTTGGGCGGAATGCGCAGCAGGCCGGACCGGACAGGTGGCCCCAAGCCGTGGCGGTGTCAGTCCACAGCTTTTGCAAGATGGGGGAGACTGGTGCTTGTGGCTGACGGCTCAGGGCACGACTGACAATGGCCCGACCTGTGAAGCCGGTGACAAGCCTTGCCGTGAACCCGCAATTGTGGGTGCATTCCATGCGCGCCCACCAGGATCTAAGGACACTAAATTGTTGGAAGAGGCAGAGGTTGATATTTGTGCGTTGGAATCTTAGCTCGGGCAAGGGGGTACCCTCCTCAGCTCCGCCCTGACCTGCTCGCTCTCTGGCCGAACGACGGGCTTTTTCTTCTGAGCCTGTGCTCCATTCGAAAGCACCCCCATTTGCACATTCCAGAAATCTGGAAAGGTCAATGAACTTGCCTGTGTCTGTTGTGCCCTTAGTTGGGAAATTGGGGTCAAGAAGAGGCTTGAATTCAGGGCCCCAGAGGAGGCCAACGCCTTGTGTGGCTCGGAGCTTTTCCTGGAACTTACCGAGGTTACCTGCGCCGCACGTGTGATTGGGAATAAGGGAAGCAGCCACTGCTGCGCACGCTTGTTGGAACTCCTCTTGGATGTAGGTGAAGGAAGGAGACTTGCCGGCGTTCGGGTGCCTTCGCCTTTCGGCCCTCCCGTTTCCAAGCTCCACTTTTAGATAAGGCTTGGGGTCCACGAAGGGGTCTTAGTTCTCCTTTCGTTTAGGGCTTAGGGTTTAGGGCTTGGGGTACAGGGCTTAGTATTTATGGTTTCGGGTTCCTATAACGCCTGGGGCGTAGGACTTAGGGCTTAGGGCTTAACTTCCCGGTTTAGGGTTTAGGGTTTAGGGTTTGGGGTGTAGGGTTTAGGGTTT